TTGGTTTGGCCTCATAAAAAGTTCATTCGCCAAAATGGCCAAATGTTTACTGTGCCCCAGCTAAGGCTGCCCCCTCCACCTGCCACGCCCCCCATTTGATTTGACTCGCATGTGAAATGTTTTCCTGCCCCTGCGGTTGTTGTTGCCTCCACCAATTGTTGTTCATATATTTTTGGCTTATTTTTATTGGCTGTTTCTGTGCTCTTCTGCTGGCATTGTTTCGATTTTGGTCTTCATTTTTTTCTTCCTTTTTTTTTTTTGCTAACTCTCCTCCCGAGTTGATTGCCTGGCTCCTTGCCGGGAAATTGATTTGCATTTGTTTGTGGGGTTGGGGCTGGGAAATTGCAGAGATCTTTCGATAATTGAAAATTGTATTTCGCACGGTTGGGGGTCAAAGGTCAGCAGGAAAACTGTTTTACTGACCATGAGCTCACAGCTATACATAGGAAAATGGAAGAAATTAGGTTACTTAGGACTTGCCTTTGAAGTTTTTAGAATATATTTGTGGTATGGAAATAAAGGTAGTCACTTTAAAGATAATGATTAAAGGAGTATTATTTTAGAATATTAATAGAGATGCTCGAAGTACCAAATTAAAAGGATGATCTAAATCTTTTCAATTCTTTTGTATATTTTATTTTGAAATATTTTGGGCTTAAATAAGCACTTTAAACCTATTGCAATTACCAATTTTCCAGTACTATTTTTCTCTCTGCATCTTCCCTTGCAACAAAGGGTTTGAAGCTTAATTCACACATCAGCCTTTTCCAGGTACTCCTTCATTTTCCTGCTTCGATTTCTGTCGCTGTCCATTTGCCATCATTTCTGTGGCTATTACAAACTTAATGGCAAAACTTCTGGACGCTGTCCGCCATCATGATGAGGTCACCATATACATTCATCTTTTTGTGGAAGGGAGAGTAACAAAAAGTTGGAAAAATCCTGAACAGGACAGGAGTAAGAGCCATCAACATCCACCAAACTCCCTGCAAAGCCAGCTCTGCTTTTTATTCAGTCCTGTGCAAATAGGAGAAAGCAGTTGCAGTTTGCAGTTGCCGAGTGGAAAATTTAATTACATGCAAATATCGTTAACTGTGTAGGGACAGTGGATTGTGGGTAGGATTTTTTTATTTTTTTTTTTTTTTTTTAAGAAAAACGCTTCTATATTCTATAGCTAACATGCCAAAGGACTCTGCGGGGATGATGGCATGGCCAAAGGACAATCGTCTGACGGTTACTTGTTATTGTTGCAAGTAAAGTGGTGGGTGGGCAAAAAAAGAAAACAAATAAAAAAGGGAAAAAGATGAAAAAAAGGAGTTTTCTTTTAGCTGCAATTGCAGTTGTTGTGGTGGCGATATGATGCTCCCACATGCAAACACCGTAAAACACTCACACACACAGGCAGCATATATGCAAATCCTTCTCATAAAGCTCGTTATTATTCCTGTTTTTTTTTTTTTTTTTTTATATATATTTTTACATATATACTTTTTATCTATGGAACTCTTTGGGATATTTGTTTTATGCCCGCCAGCAGGTTTAAAGCAAATATTTGCATATTAGCTGGATTTTCTACCCACAATCCCTCCTCACTCCAGACTCGCAAAACAAACTTTAATAGGAAACGGGGAAAGAACAATGGTTTTGTTTCGGTTTTAAATCAAAACAAAGTAGAATTTATTGCATAAGAATGCAATCTATTTAAAATTTATTATGCCTTCAGGCGGCCAGCTATCTAATGGGGCATGATGCCATTGTTTTTCACTCGTTTCAGGTCCATATATTTAATGGTTTTTATTTTTTTTTATACACGCTTTAGTCTTTCAAGGATAACAAATAGAAAATTAAACAAGCAATTTCAATTTATTCTGAGCAATATTAATTGGAATTTTATAAAATTACTTACTACGGGAGAACAATATATATTTAATGAAAATTTATGCAAATTGTTTAAGGCATTTAAATTATATTCACACTTCCACATTTGCTCTCTTGCTTGTGATTTGTTTGTAAAATTAGGCATTTCTACCCTCCTCTTCCCATTGCCTTTGGGGGTATTTAAGTTTTTTGGCCTCAAACTTTTCGCTTTGCACTTTGATTCGAATGGCAAATCGTTTGGAAAGTTTGTTGTTCCGTTTGGTTTCCATGTCTGCTCCTGTTGGTCGCTGTCAAAAGTTGTTGCATTTGTTGTGGGAATTACTAGGTCCATGTTGCCATTGTTTACACATAGTTACTGTCGTTGTCAGTTAATGTAAATTTGGTTTTTACATTATTTGCGGTTCTGGTTTTTCGGTCCGAACTAAAATTTTGCTGGTTGTCAGGTTTAATTTTGGGAAAAGAGAATTGGAATTTGCAATAAAAACCATATATTGGTTGAAGTTGATTATTTTTAGTAGTAGTTAGAGATATAATTTACTCATTTACTCTCAGAATTCCGACTTGGGAATTTTTAGTGCACACTCATTGCAACATTTTTGGTTAGCTTAGCAACATTTATATATGTAGGTGTTGAGGAACATGTTGCTAGCAACAGTAAACCTTTCACCCTGTTTAATTTAAGTTGTTTATAAATTTGAGCTGAATTGGACAAAGTAAATGTACACAGAATTAGTCTTCTTTATTTTATGGCCATCTTCTTAATATATATAATTTTAGCAATATATTTATGTTGTATAATTTAATGTTTATATTTTTTCATTAAACATAAATCACACCTAGTTATCCTCCATATTTGGTAGCCACAAAAGATGCCCCAATCAATTAGTCACAAATTCTCATATGCAAAGGTTTTAACGACGGCTGTGCTTTGACTTTGTGGCACAAAAAAAAAGGGGGAAAATTAACACGGCAAAACCACTTAACAAGTTTAGGAATGGTGGGATCTCCTCCTCGTTTTTGCCATTTAGTGTTATTTACCTGGCCAGGTTTCTTGGGACGACGAGTCACGTCGAAAAGTGCACAAATTACCTGTGAGACGACGACTCGTTGAATATGAGTGCTGCTCCAGTTATGGCGAGCTCTTACCCCACGAATTTTCCCACCCACTTTTACCCTGGTAATGGGGAAAAATAAACCCCCGCCCTTTTTGCACAGCCTGACAATTAATCACTTTGTCATAGACGTCTCCTGCTCCCTTCGATTTGTACACGTGGTGTGGGGCCCTTCAATCATTAATTTATCATGTGCACTTAGCAGGAAAATTGCGACAAACCCACATTTTTCCCCCTCCACTACATCTCCCTCTGTGTGTGTGGCAGGTGCAGTGTCCTTAGTCCTGTGTCCTGTGTCCACTGCCATACTTTGTTTTTGCTTTGTTTGTTTATTTGCTTTCCGCTGCTAGTAGGTTTCATTTTGTTTTGCATAGTTCGGTTCGGTCGGCTGTCGCTGACACATGACGCCCCCGCCTGGGCGTTGAGGGTGAATTGTGGGCGTGGCAGCCGCAGTTTAATTACCACAGTCTGATGTTGGCCAAAAGGGAGGCAACGTATATATATAGTAAAACTACAAATTAATTGCGCCAGAGATAGAGAGTGCCGCGATATTTACACGCAAAATTAAAAATTAATGCAATCAGCAAACAGCAAAAGGAAAAAAGGTTCAAAGGCTCACAACAAAATTCATAAAATAATAGTGATTTTTTATTATTCTACCCACTTTGATTGTTCAGTTGATGAATTTTTAATTGTATTTGAGTGAAGGCAATTTATTATAATAAATATATGTAAATATATAGAATGTGTTACCTTACAAAAAAATAACTTTTATTCTTCTTCTCTTTTTTTCATTGCAGGTAAGCTGAAAACATAATTAATTAATTAACAAAAAACAACAAAAGTTTAAAGGTACAGGTAAATCAAGGATTCCGCTTAGAAGCCAAAGGAAAAGCGGTGGCTAATGCAAAGTTTGTTGGGTGGTATTAAATTATTACTAGGAGTAGATGTATTTCTAGACAGGATGTGAAATAATTAGACAAAAAAGCTTAAAAAAAAACAATTTAAAAAATTTGTATTAACAATAGGAGTCTTTTTGCTAATTCGAGTTCTAGAAATTCATATAATTTTCCCACTTAAATTTCAAAGGAAAACCTTAATCTGCCTCGCAAGTTGAAAACCATTTAACTCGAACCTGTCGTCTCTATTATCTCCCAACGACAGGCAAGACCACAGTGTCAGACCTTTTCCTCCTGGCTTTCGTCCTTCTTTCGCTGATGTCGAAAAATGCAATTTTTAAATTTCCATTAATTTCGCGCTGTCGACTTTCGTGAAATGTTGTCGCTGGGAGAGAATTCAAAAAGCGTTCAGAAAACACAGACAGAGACGTCTCTCCGAATGCAACAACAATAACAACCGCCGCAACAACAATGTTGTCAGCCATGCAAATAAGCAGACACTCACACATACACACACAGGTGAAATACAGGTGAGATGGCGATGCTGATGGTGTGCCGCCAGGTAACCTGCTGTCTAAGTGACTGATGCCACTGTCGTCCTGAGTGTGTCCTCGGTGCGAATGTGTGCGAGTGTGTGTATATTCCGGAAAATGGAAGCCTCCGGGTGGTAGTAGCTACCTGCACTGTTTTTAATGACACACACTCATGGACCACGCCCATGTCGAGAGGTGGCAATAACATGGCGAGCCAGTAGCTCCAAGGAGCTGCTCTCGTCCTGTGACTATTTTAGCCAGAATCCCTCGACTGTCGTTGCCTCGAACGCTGAACAAGCGACTTTACACCGACAACGTGACATTTAATTCAAAATGTTTTACGCGCCCTCTCGCACCAAGTTTTTTCTCATCCCCACATGCTTTTTCCTCTTGTCGAGCTTGTTACAAAAAAAACACAAAAGAAAGAAATGATAAGAAAAGCGGAAAAAAACAATAGAGAGGGATAACAGGGCGAGACAAATGTGGAAAAAGGAAGAATTAAAAGCAGAAAAAGTAGCTATTTAAGGAAGTTTAAAGAAAAAAGAATACTTATTCCAATAAAAAAGTAAAAATATCACTTGAATTGTAAATAGGGCAGTTTCCGCTCCATTAGGAATAACTTTTAATTTATAGATACATTTTCATACATTTGATATATAATTGTAAGATTACAGCCACTTTTTACTAGGATAAAATAATTTGCTTTAAAAGATGAGATGATAAACTTCGATTTTAATCGCTTACAAACGGGAAAACAAAAGTCCTTGGCCTTAGTCTTCGTCCTCGCCCTCGCCTCCTTCAACTTCGCCGCCGCCACCGCCTTCCTCCTCCTCGACCATCTCCTCCGAGGAACTAATCTCCACAATGGGCTCAATTTCAGAGGCCAGATCCTCCTCAAAGTCACTGATCTCACCCAGCTCCTGCAGGCACTTGTCGTAGTTTTCATCGAAGCGTATGTTTTCGTTGAGCGACCTAACCTCCACATCCTGATCGGCGGGCAGCAGGGCCGGAGCTGTGCCCGGTGGACACTCGGTGATATTCCTTATTTTCAAAGTGTGAATGTGAAAGATGGCCGAACGATTGGATTCGAGAAGGACCTGATGGAAGACACTCAACAGGCGATCCATATTCCCAAACATGCGAACGCTGGCACTCTTGGGATCCTCGCCCTCCTCCAGGATGCGACCCACGATATTGTGACGATAGGGATCCATTAGGTAGATAAAGTCAGACTTCTTCCACAGCGAGTACATTTGGTTATTGATCTGGAAGATGATGTAATCATTCTCATTTAGAGCCTTCTCCAGCATCAGATGGAAGTCATTAAACTTGTACATGGGCACACACTTCCACCAGCCCTCGTAGACATTGGGCGTCAAAAAGATCTCGGCCACAAACTGGCCCATCCGGATCTGGCGTGGGAAATCGTCGAGATCCATGGGCTTGCTAAGATCCACACAGGGCTCCCAACAGTTCTTGCACATATTGACGCCATAGCACATGACCTTGTCGTACATCTTCATATCCCAAGTGGCGGGATGATCGATCTTGGAGGCCAAAGCAGTGGCCACCGCCACGGGCAGAGCACTGCGATTCCTCAGAGCATCCTTGGGGTTCAGGGTGAGATGAAGATTGGACTTGACATACGCATAGTCCGAGGCAATAACATCAAACTCGCTCATCCGCATACCATGCTCCCGCTCCCAACTCTGGCCAGTAGGGCCCGGCGTGGCCAGTCGGGTGACCAGGATCTCCCTAATAGTGAACTTGTCAGTCTTCTCCAGGTCACTCTCCTTCTTGATCAGCCAGACAACATTGTCCAGGGATTTCAAGGCCAACAGAACGGGATATCCTGCTTCCTGATTCAGTTTCATGGTCTCTTTTTCCCTGCCATTCAGATCCAGGACCATCCACACGCCCCGCTCCTTCCAGATCAGCAGATACCAAGTGCCCGAGAAGAACACTCCATACTTGAACTTCTTGAAGAAGGCCCTCAGGATACGTCGCAGATTGCGTATGGTATTCGGATAGCCGTAAACCTCAAAGCTCGCCTCCAGCTCCACAGCGAACTCAAAGTCATTGATCTTGAATGACCGCGCCACACGCTGTTCATTCTCATCGTACACATCCGGATTTTCAGTCGAATTTGGATTGACCATATTCTCGGAATCATTGAACAGTATCTGACCATCATTCACAACCATATCGATCATCTCCGGCAGCCATTCGTCGCGACGCGTATAGTAGGAATGAGCGAATCCCTTGAGATAGCCGGCATATCGGATACTCTCCTGGTTTGAAATTCCACCCTTGACCACAGCCACTCCACTTACTACGCCTATGGGATAACCCAGTGAGCGGTCGACATCATTGCGACGATTTCGGGCACACTCCTTGGGATCGAGGGGCCGAATATAGGGCTCATCGTGGCCGCCAAAGATTAGGCAATTCTCGAATGAGCAGGGATTGTAGGGTTCCGGCCTTAAAGCCTTCCAGGTTGTCACTCTTTTATAAACATTTTTGGAATATGAATATAATACTTATTTATGAAAAGGTATACCAGAACTTACAGTCGACTACAGGACGGAGCAGTTTGACAAGGCGGACATTGCATAGGTGGACAACATGGTGGCGGACAGCATGCACCTGCTTGCTCACGACGGCCAGCCATTTTCACAAAGATTTTGAATGAAAGAAAATAACCTTTTTTATAAAACAAAATAATTTAAAGAATTCCGATCGATTGTTTGCCCTTCAGTCGTAGGCAGTTAACTAATAAAGTCAGGTTACTAGATTTATAAGAAAAATATTGAGTTTAATTAAAGATACAACTTCAGAAATATATTTCAAAGTATACTTAAAAATATTTAAATTTTATTTAAGTTTTATGTTAAAGAAAATTTATTTTCCATTATTATTTTTCCATCTCCACAAGAAGGTAAACTCATTCGAACTCGATATTTCTCTGTACGCTTTTTTTTGCTTAGCGCTGCACTTAGCCAACCTTTCATTAGCTTGCTCATTTAATCAATTGACTCACCTGCTGACAGATTTGATCTGTCCTCTTTGGAGAAGGAAAAAAGAAAGAAAAAAGAACCGGGAGAAACACACTCGACTTTCATTACACAAATTGTGCTTCGGGATGGCGAACTTATGATAATTTTTATTGTGCACACGCCAAGTCAGTCAAGTCAATGCTGGAAATCAGTTGAGGGCCATTTTTGGTTTTGGTTTCAGTGTGTCGGGTTTTGGTTTCCGTTTCGGTTTTTGTTTTTGGTTTTGGCTTTTACGATGGCCCCGGCAGTTAATTCCTTATCCGGCCAAGACAGAGGGAGACAGTTAACAGGCAACAGCTAAATGTAATTGGAAAGCTCATCAAGTGCTGTCGTTGTTGTGGCTTTGCCACTTGAGTGCGCCCCGGAAAAGTATGCAAAGAATTTTAGCTCTGCTGCTGCCATCAAGTTTGGTTTATTTTCCTGCTGCGCTGCTATTTTTTCCGTGCGGTTTATTGAAAACGAGCGAGCGCCGCCAACGCAGCGTATACGTAACATCATCATCATCATCATCATCGTCATCATCGGGGGTATCCATCGAAGAAGGAGTCACTCTGCTGCTTAGCTAAGCTCCTCTGATGGCATTTACGAGCCAGCCCTTTATTGTCCTTTTGTTTTTGGGTTTTTGTTGTCGAATTTATCCCATCCTTCCTGTCGTTGTGGTATCCACGTAATTGGCTTAGCCATACTATATGTATATACACACCTGATCATATTAATAGGTACATACACAAATTATTTAATTATAGATGGTTTTTTCGTACTTTAAGTGTTGACATCTTTAAAATTTTTGGTTATTTGTTATGGTCTATATCTGGCCAAACTGTGACAAAGAGTTGAACGAGGGGAATCCCCGAATATCAAAGCTTTTCTATAAATTGTGAGTCAACTACACATTTCGCCTGATCATAATAATAGGTACAGTCTCCGTTTCTCATAAATAACAAGTGAATAATTTTGTAATCAGTGATTTTTTGGCAACTTAAGGTAAATTTCGTATAGCTACTATCAATTAAGAGAATTAAATATTTATTTTTTTTAGAAAAAATGGGTCGAAATTCTCATTGTACTAAAGAAGAAGCTCGATTGGTTTTTAGTCTGAGAAAAGATGGCAAATCTTTACGAGCTATTGCCAAATTAATGAAAAGGTCCCATAATTTTGTTAAAAATGAATAAGAAAGGAAACCAAGACAGGAATCCCGTGGAAGGCCAAAAAAAAACAACGGAAACGCTTGACCACTACATAGTATCTTTAAGCAAAAAGGACCCATTTAAGTCATCGAAGGCTATTGCAGCAGATATTGGGAATTCAGTTAGTGCTCCAACTATCCGAAGACGACTACAAGATGCCAACCTACCAGGAAGAATTGCCAGAAAGGTTCCACTTATGCGCAAAAAAAATATCACCATGAGGCAAACTTTTGCAAGGGACCACAAAGACTGGGTAGGATGCATCGGGGAGAAAAAGTGGAGAAACATTTTATGGAGCGATGAAACCAAGATAAATTTATTTGGGAATGATTGTGAAAGGAATGTTCGACGCCCTAATGGAAGAAATTTCATCCACGGTTTACAAAGAAAACAGTCAAACATGGAGGTGGTAATATAATGGTATGGGGTTGCTTCTCCTGGTATGGCGTAGGTCCAATTTATCAGACTACGAACAGAATGACTGCTGAAGAATACAAATCCATATTGGAAACAGTTATGGTACCATATGCTGAAGAAAATATGCCATTACGTTGGGTATTTCAGCAAGACAATGATCCTAAGCATACATCAAGGCTTTTATCTAAATTCTTTGAGGACCAAAAAGTTGACGTTCTGAAGTGGCCAAGCCAATCCCCCGACCTAAACCCCATAGAAAACTTGTGGGGAGACTTAAAAAAGAAATTGGCAAAGTATTCATTTTCAAATAAAGCACAATTATGGGATGGTGTCCAAAAATTGTGGTATGAAACACCAGTAGAAACCTGCCAGGCTCTTATTAAAAGTATGCCAAAAAGAATAGCAGTAGTGACCAAAAATAGAGGTGGATACACTGGATACTAAGTTAGTAAATACAAATTTAGAAAAAAAAAACGCAAAATATATATTTAAATTTATTTTTCTCATCAACACTTGAAGTGTACCTATTATTTTAATCAGACTGAAAACGTATCTAAGACACAAAATGATCTCCTTTTTGTTATATTATTATCCTATGTTACAATGAAGTTTATTTGATTAAAAACAAATAGTTTAAGAACCAATGAGACCAAATTTTAAGTTTAAAATAATGAATAAAACTATTTTCTGTAACCTTAAAGTCTGAGTTGATGTATGTACCTATTAATATGATCAGGTGTGTATATATATATATACGGAAGAGAGAACTGCTATTAACAATTTCGTTGTGTGCAACGTTTTTATTTCGTGTCATCCAATCAGCAAGGATTCCCCTCTGAGCACATGTGAGATTGATTCCCCGAGCAGCCATCAAAGGGGATTCCTTTCTGTCCGGACTTCCTACTCCATCTCTCAGATTTTTCAGTTTTCTTTTTATTTTTGGTTGGACAGGGGACGACTTCCCTTCGATATCTACTTGCGAGTGCAATAAATTTAGCTGGGAATCGTAAATTTTAAACACTTCATTAAACATACGAAAAGGAAGCGAAATCGCTTAACGATTATCGCCTGGCTATCACCCACTCAAGTCGCTTCTCTCTTTTTTTTCCCAATTTCCAATTTTCAGTGCTGCACCATAGCCCGCCCATTGGGGAAAACTCTTGGCAGTGCAGGCCAAGTGAACAGAAGTAACTCCACCAACTCCGCTCTGCCAGTAGTAAATCCCCACCACCATGATGACCACTGTGTATTGGAGACGCCTTTTCCGCTCTTCCACTTTTCCCTCTTTCGGCTGTCGTCTGGTTCAGTGCTCAATAATGATTTCCATTGCGAATTATTTGCATTTCCCCAAACTCATTATGTTTGCATTGTGCAAAAATTCGCCTCGACGTTTGCCACGGCCATGGTTACCTGCTGAATCTCTGTGTTCCTCCGTTCTGTGCCCGCCAACTCCTCCATCTCCATTTGAATTTCGTCTGCTGGCCTCCATCTGAAAATATTTCCAACGGCTTTGTTAGCTTTGGCGGTTTTTTGGGGTTCTTGGAATTTTCGAATGGTTTTGCGCTAATGGAATTTCACTCGGACTGATTGAGTTGTATTCCACAATTACCTTAAATTGAAGAGGGTTTTCTATTGGGGGAGAGGGAATTCTTGGGAATATAATTTCATTAAAAACCTTGACAAATTATTAATATCTTTAAAATTTTAAATTCTATTTGTTGTCGTTGTTTTATAGAAAATTTAAAGCAATATTTTTGCTTTATTTAATTAAAATTTTTTACTTGATGTACTTTTTTCCCTTCATTATAACACGTTACCTTTATTCCCCTGTCTCGTATTTTTTTCAGCTGATTCTATTAGCTTTGTTTAAATTTTTAACCCCAAAAAATATGTATATTCCACTTTTTTCATGGTCCACAATTTAATTAAAACCTTTTAATAAATAAAATCATGCTGGGTTACGAGATGCGGACAAGCGAAAAATTGTTTGAAAAATCATATTTCCGGTGGTCCTTCTTTAACATCCTTCACCCATGCCATTCCGTTTCATTTCATTTCATTTCGTTTCGTTTATTACATGTCAAGCGTCAATGAATGTCAGTTTGACAGTTCATAAGACAAATACGACAATACGGCACCACCGGTGGGTGGGATAGTTTTGGGGTTTTTTTTGCAGAAGAGAAGAAAAAACCAGGTGAGCCTTGGACAGGTGCGTCTGCTTGTTCCGCTTCTCTTCTGCGGACATTAATGTGTCAGCGTGCAGCGTCCTCGTCTCGTGGCACATGAGAGACGTGCTCAGGCACCACACTCAAACACCTATATATATATATACATATATGTTATATCCAGATATGGCCACCCACTGCATCCCTGAATAATGTGTGAAAATGGGACCCAAAAGATGCCGCTGCTGTCTTTGGCAATTCTCGGCGAACGTGTAAGTAGCCGTTGGCGGAAAGGATATTCCTGTGGGGTGGCTATGTGGAAGGATGTGCGAGATGCTGCAGCTGTCGTCGGAACATGACAACTTATTGGCATTTTGCTGCCAACTTCCTTGACAGTTTTGCTTCTACATTTAAGGCCCTAAACAATTTCTAGCTGCAAATTGAAAATCTGATAAAAATGGGAGGTTTAGATCCTCCTTCTGTAAGGGAGAGATGGCTATCATTTCAGAAGATTGACAAACGTAGGCATTACACTTAAAAAACATTTTTTGTTTTAACGATTAACAAAGTATATTTTTATAAGAGTTTAGAAATATTTGTTCCCCCTCATATTCCTCAGAAATAACTTCGAATTATAAGAAAAATCTAGTTTTTCAATCGTACCTTATTCTATGGCCTTTGATCATATTTAGAAAATATTTTTCTCTGTGTACATCTGTGGTCTTGTACTCTGGCTTTACTCTTCCGTAGGCTCTCCAACTACAAATGCCTCTGCTGCTAACTCCCTTATTGACATTTCCCCTGCCTCGTTGACAGCCTAGAACTTTTCAATGCATTGTCATAAATCATTTTGCGGCAAAAACAAGTTGAACGCCAAGCCACGCCCACACATCTGACTGCCACATGCCGTGGACATTCCATTGTGAATGCCCGGAAAAGCGGAATGGGCAGCAGCAGGCGGA